ACTTCCACGGGTTGGTTAGTTCAAATTCTTGAGTTCCCTGGCTTATACTTATTGGCTTTTGAGTTCCCCTGCTCCTATTAACTATGTAATTCTATTCAGCAAAACGTTCATTGGAAAATATAGATTCTGATTTCAGGGATAATGTTTTTGCTCTGCTTTCATATTACTCTGTTGGGACATTTAATGGCTTCAAATCTTGGATAGTTTGTCTTACCTCATACCTACCTGGTTACTGTTTTTTATTTAATTTTGCTCTTTTGGTTTTAAAGCATGCAGTGAACGGTTAATATTTGGTTCTTCACTCCTAAGTATTGATGCTTGACTCATTCATTGTTGTATTGTGATTATGATATTCTAGCATTAAGATATTGGTAGCTTGTCTTTGTGTACTGCTGTGTTATTGTGACTATTTTACTGGATTTATATTTATGTCACCACACTACAACTCATAGTTCATATGTATTTTCTTGTTGAAATAGGGCATTGTTGTGGGCCTGGATAATTTGGAAGCTAATTCGTATACTAAGAGAATCTTCTAGCAATGCAATTGCATCATCTGGTCTAAGGAGCGGTGAGCTCCCCTATGTTTTTGAGTTTTTTCATTTTCTTCAACTTGAGTAGAAGTGGTGGTTCAAAAGCACTGAGACATGATTTTCTGGCTTTGTCATTAAACTTCTGTTGTTCTGCATGCGTTGTTTTTCTGTATTTTTTGCTTTCTAGCTTCTGCTGCGAGGAACATTTTTTGGTGCAGTAGATTTTTTGTCATGTGCTTTGTGTTTGCTTCTTTTGATCAATGAAATTTCTGTCCTATAACATGTGAAATTTCTTTTGGCACCTGGGGTCTAGTGCAACAGAAGTTTAAGGAGGCTTATGGTTTAACTAATCAGAACCTTCCAATAATCTGTTATTTTTTTCGAACTTGGTTCGTAGGAGTAGGGTTTATTTAATGCCTTACTTAGCGAGGCTTTTTGGGGAGTAGATGAGAGTTCCAGTTCAGTAACAGAATGTAATCATGTTTTCCAATTTTGTTATTCAAATTTCCTTGATGTCTAGGATTTGGTTTTCTTTGAAATCAGCTCTGGAATGCAGACTTTTATATCTGTATTCTGTCCATACCCTGGTGTTTTGATTTCCTTTTTCTTACATGTATTCCTTAGCGAATCAACTGTGTTCAAAGATATGCTTCCTAAGCTGAAGCCGTGAAATATGAGCCTCCTATTGCCAATTGATTTTGGATTGAATGCTCTAATTTGAAAACTTAATAATAACTTGTGAAGCCATATATAACTCTAGTTGCAAGATTCCCCAGCTTACACCTTACCCAGTTTCATGTCTGAATTTTTCATTACACATTATGTTTACCCCCCATCACGTGCTATTACCTCATGAAAAGCACCAAGTTCCATCAGGCGCGCAGTCACATTATGATTAACATCCCTAAAAACCTCCCAGTTCCAAGCACGCAAAGCTTTACGGAGAATCTTCAGTTTGTGAGTGAGATTAAAATAAGGTCCGTAGAAGAGTGAGTGGCTGCCCATGTGGACTTAACAAACTGATTAAATTCTTTGTGTTAACCAAGCTCTCTGAAAATGAAAAAGGGAAGCACAGGGACGAGCCAGCTTGCCAAAACTCATCACAATGGGATTATGATCCGAGCAAAGTCTAGGGAGAGTATAACAATCCAAATAATCCCAAGCGTCAAGCCAAAGAGTATTCCCAAGGCACCGATCAAGACGTGGTCAACCCTTTTACCCATGTGAACTTAGTAACGAACACCCATTTACATCTTTAACGTCCACCATTTTCAATTCATCGTGATGGGATCCTTACAAGCATACAATAGTAATGGGTCCTTATTGAGTACTGATACACCTTCTGTTTTTAATAAAGCATGTGTGTTGCACATGCTAATTGAGTTTTTTTTATAGATAAAAAATACCAACTATAACAGGTTAAGATGCTGGGGGATTTTAACATTAACATGACTCTTTTTTTCTTGCTCTTCAAAAGTCATTGTATTGCTCTTCTATTATTAAAGAAAACAATACTTAAAATAGTTTTGTGATGCATGATCAATATAAATCCATTCCACATAATTCATTGAAATAGTTTTATGAGTTTACATGTTAGCTTTCAATTGACTTTATTCATAGGAAAAATTGTTCCCCCATCATATACGTTTGTGTGTTGTCCATAATTTTTTTGCAGCAATAGCAAGGGTCTCTGAGTTGAAAATCGTAGGTCACGTTTTTTAGCAGGGTCTGTAGAAGTAGACTATTGTATATCGATTTGTCAGTTACTGTATATCCATTTGGCAGTTGTTGGGTATCGATGTGGCAATTGATAGTTACCCATTTGGCAATTGTTGGCAATCGATTTTGGCAATTGTTAATCTACAAATAAGCAAAGAAATACTATTAATAAAAAGAAAAAAACAATCTCCTCTATGAAACTCAACACAACCCTTTCAATCCTTGTTACCAATGTGGGAGACAGTTTTGCATTCTTCTTTAGTTTGGCTTACTCATCTAAGAGCCACGACCACGTGAAGATGATGACCACGACAAGCCAAGTGATCAAGTCAATTCCACCAGCTCAGCGATGACGACTAAAGAAGTTTTGACGAAGCCCTAGATCATGAATAAGAGCCACCACCACGTGCTATGTACTTGTCCTCTCAATAGTGCTAGTGCAATGACAACACCAACAAAACGAGTTCTAATGGAGAAGAAGAGGAGTCAAGATAGAGTTTTAATGGAGAAGAATAACTGCAAAGAGCGTATTCACATTATAATTTATCAGTTTTCCGGTTCTCGCGTGGTCTTTATTATTATTTACCAAATGTATGTTGATTTTAACCTACAATAACAAGTTTTTAGGTTACTCCAAATTGAATGGTGTAGATTAGTTTATATTTTGTTTTTCTCAATCCAATAATCTATATCCTTTGGTATATCCATACACTAAAGGACGGTAGAATTTTCCATTAACTGAGTATAGAGGATGCATTGCACCCAAAAGGAGGCACCCACAATCGAAGTGGTTTGGGTAACATGTGCTATAATGGAGCTAAGAATCAGGTTGAGTTCATGTTGGGCATGCACTAATAAGGCCTTAAGCCAACATATTTTTTTGGCTTATTATCACAAAAGGTCCCTAAGGTTTAGGAAACTATCAGATTGCATCCTTAATGTTTTTTTGTGTCATTGGTGGTCCTCAAGGTTAGTATGTGTAATCACAAATGGTCCCTGCTGTTAGGTTCCGTCAAAAACTCCGTTAGTTTGCTGATGTGGCATATATATATATTACAAAACATCCATGAGGTTTACACATCTATCACAAATGGTCCTTGCAAATTTTTTTAATTTTTTTAATTTAAAATTCATAAAATTTTGGTTTTCTTTTTTATATTATTTAAAAATATATATTGTATTTTAAATACATATGA